AGGGATGGTCCCTAAATGTTTGTTAAGAATATCGCCAGCGAAAGTGAAAGTGATTCAGTCTTGCTTTGGTAAATGGACTGCACTTGTATAGCACATTTCTGGTCACTCAAAGCACCTTTTACACTACACATTCGCTCATTCACACACACATTCTCACATTGGTGACCGAGGCTACCATACAAGGTGCCACCTGCTACCCAGTTTACCACTTGTACACAATCACACACCAATGAAACAGCCATTGGGAGCAATTTGGGATTCAGCATCTTGCCCAAGGATATTTTGACATGCATACTGGAGGACTAGAGGACCACCTGCTTCACCTCTGAGCCATAGCCGCCCAACGAGCTTTGTCTGCTTGGTGTTTGGTCTCACTGTGTTTGCATGTTTTTGGTGCGATTTTTGTAGCTTCTTCTTGGATGTGTGCTACTTATGGTGTGGCACCTGGTAGCTCCCTTTTGATTAAGTCCTGACTGCAGCACGCTGTGCCTAGGAACGTCCCGAGCATTGCAAAATAAGAAGAAAATAAGAACATTGAGCCAGAGGGCAGAGTCTCTGCAGATAAATACACCGCCACAGACTTCTAGTTGGTTATAAGTGCTGATTGAGAGGGATTACTTTTGAGTCTATACATTGTTTTTTAGGAAAATACTGCACAGTAAACGTTTAATATTTGCATGTTTAATATCATTTCCAGTAAAGTCTGTTATTTTCAACTTAAACTATAAAAGTATTCAAATCCACATAGTAAATGGGACACCGTCTGTGTTTTCAGCACCATTGTGAAAGAGACAACAGAGGAAACATTCCTCACATCTGCTCTGCAAGGCTCCATATTCAACATCTGTGTTCATGCAGAGTGCTTTTAGAGAAATGCCTTCATGCTTGTAACTCTGAATTGCATAGAGACACTGCACTTACGCCATTCAGAATAGCATTGCATGCACTGCTATTTAGTAATGATTGCTGTGCTCACAATCCTAGATGTGATCTCGTGAACTCCTATTCATATTTGATAGGGTAATGGAGCATCCACTTTTTCCTTCAGCGACGGGGGGAGGAAGGTGCTGCCAGCTGTGCTATTATGGAATTTTGCATTCATTCATCAGCCGGTTTTCATCCATACACACACGCACACACAAACACGGAATGACAGTCTTATCTTCTGTGGTGGCGGCGGGCTATGACCTTTGACATTTGTGTATCACTGAGTGCACAGATTAGTCATCACCAGTGCATCTGAGCAGCTGAGGTGGATCTGTGCAGTCGCAGGATGATGTGATTAATCCACTGACCTCTTTTTTCCAGTGACCACGACAGGAAGCCATGCTTTTCAAACCTCTGCCTCCACGACAACATGTCCTGCTTCTTTTCACGTGGGCTGTGAATGATCTGAGAAGCCAGTGGTGGCTGAAACACCAACATATCTGAATGCAGCTCCTCCTGTAACAGCAATATTAGCTCACCTACCGCTGTAATCTCTGAAATTGAGGTGCAATCAACTTGCAGGTAATAACGCTTTAATGAAACGTTTTCCAACAGGAAGACGGATCCTTTGCCGAGGTCATTCCTCAACTCCATATCATTATGCGGCTGATTCATTTCTCCGCCATGTTAATATAAAAAGCAGCAGCTTGGGAGGATGAGACTGAGGGTGTCCTTAATTGTCAATTAAGAATGTATCTACCAGTCATACTCCCGCCACATGACATGCAGATTGAGTGATAACAATGAGGGCAGGGTTGCTTTATCGAGGGGTCGGCTTTTGAAATTGAACTCTTAAGTAATGGAAATACTTTCGATTATGTCGGCTTTGTCAACCAAAAACAAGCAATCACACATGAAGATCATCAAATGATTTGCTGATAAGTTACAAATAAATCACTAACACTATTATTATGGATATGGTTGAGTGCTCAGTGATGGTTTTGGCTGGCGACGGCCCTGGTTGTGACTAGGTTTTAATAACATTCTGCTTTTTCGCTAATTGGATCATCCATAATGCCAAATATAAAACTAATGAAAGACTTAAAGAGCAAAAACACATTAGCCACCATTAATCAGGAGCATATCATTTCGTGCTGTTGATTTTTGTCTGTACCATCATGGAACAATAGATTTAGATTCACAAAATGTTTTAAGCATTGTTGCTATATTTTCAGCAATCTCAGATAAGAAATTCAGTTTAAAGGGCAAACATTTTATATGTTAAGTGTGGGAAAGAAACACCTATCCAAACAGATGGGCCGACATAAAAAGCTATCATCGTAACAACAGGAAAGCAAATGAAGAAACCACTTAGGTCTCTCAGCAGCCAGATGGATTTTGGAAGAGGCCGGGATAGTCGAGTCAGATTATTGGCTTGATGTTCAGGTTGATAAATGCAGTCTAAAAAGAAAAGCCAGCCCGATAACCTGCTCTACTGATGCAGAGGAGACACAACAACCTTTAAATGGGCTCAGTGTTTTCTTTCTTTAAATATTCAATTCTTATTCTGCATATTAGTTACAGCTAATGTTCATTAACACAGGAGTTAACAGTCTGGGGAATATTGTTTTCACAGGATAATGCCCTTGAACTGAGATTGTTTTCCTCAGTTGTTTTCATTATCTTATATAAAACTCTCTTTCACGAGCAACCCTAACCCCGAAAACCCACCCTGAGGATACTTTATAATGGAGTGGCAGAGTGTACGGGCAGTCAGAAAGATCATCTTCAAGCCGGAGAACAAGAATATCCATTTGAATGTCCATAAATGACAGTTTCAACCCAAACCAAGGCTGAATCAACACTCAAGTGTCCCTGAGATCGGACAGACACCATTAATTAAGTGGCATGTTATGGTAAAGCAAAGCCTGCAAGGTAGTAGAGTGCAGCTTGGGCCGCATATTTCCATCCGAACCTTACCCGAGTCTAAAGCCCCATTTCAATCGAGCAATGCGGTACGGTTCAGTTCGGTACGCTTTTTTTTTTTTTTTTCCATTTCCATTGTGAAAAGTTGTGGATGGTACCGATGTAACTGTTCCATACTGTCCCCATTTTTGGTCACCCCTCTGTTGGGGTACCTAGCACACAGATCTGGTGCTAAAAGGTGGAGCTGTGAACACTGCAGTCTGTTGATTGGTCAATAGCAGACGGTCACTCTGCTCAGGGCTGAGATGTGGCTGGTTTTGAGGCACATGTAACCACTGTTCATACCGTGGAGAGTTTGTCATACATTAGTGAACTATATCTATAAGAAGACATGATGTTTTGTTGACCTAGGTACCATGTCTGAAAGGTTACTTTTACTTGCAAATGTACTATACCGAAAGTGTTTGGTGGAAACGGAGCTTAGGAAAGTAGTAACTGAGCCCGACCCCAACCAGACAGGCTTCCTGTTTTTCTGTCCAAACCTGACCCAAGCCTGATGCAGTTAATGTAAGGAAAACACAGCCCCAGAGCTAATGCTGAAACATGCTGAAACACTGCCGCGTCCATTTCCTTGTGTCACTTTGACAACAAACTGATTTAACAGGTACATAAAGCACAAAGGACCATGTCAGCTGGGCCAAACCTGACCTGAATCTGAACATCATGTGGAAATATCTGTCTGAATCCAGCCCGACAGGTCAGGTACTGTCGAGCTTGGGTCATGTATCCACGCTTAACAAGCTAGTTCTGTCAACAAAAGTCTGCTGCATCTCTACCTCAACTTTATTCTCCACCAGAAGGGGGGAAGTTGTTGCCATCACTCCACAGGAGCTTTGTGTTTCATGATGGGAAGTAACCAGATACAAGCCTAGAAGCCAAATATCAACTGTGTACATATTCTATATTCAGTGATAATCCTCTCCAGTTCCTAACTAACTTCAACCATGCACTGTTCTCTTTGATCATATACCAACCCCCAGTGATATTAGTACTGTTTACTGGTTGAAAAAACAAAACTGTAGGACTCCATCACACCTCCAGCTCCACCCCAGGGTCTCCTCAGGGGAACATTTTTATCATCACTCCCCAATCTCTGCTGGGTGAGCCTGGTGTTTCACTTTGGGGGGTGATGTCAGAGCCTAAATATCAACTACGTAGGTATCCTACATTAACATAACAATCCATTCCAGTTCTGCACTTAACTTCCATTATGCACTGCTCCCTTTGATCATCTCATGCTGATACTTTTTAACAGGGTAACATACTGACAGTCATTGATATGTGCCCTCTTTACACTCTGGACCCCAGGTTCCCTAGTTGAAACACCAAACACGTTGCAGAGACTTAAATCAAAAGGTCTCTTGCCTGCATGCAGTATTATCCAGTCATGATTATTTTAAAATCTTGTTTTAAAGCGGTAGTGTTTAGAATGAGCTCTGTTGTATCTCTGCAATCCATCCCCAGGCTCCACAAAGATATTTTAACAAGATAAGGCCTGAGACAATGCCCCTCACAGACAAAACTAATTGTGATTGAGCAAAACAAAAGCGAATAAAAAACATTTCACAGCCATCGTCCACAAAAGCAACCCATCACAAAATGCATGCACAGTAGAAAATCGATGCTTACACAGCCTATTGTAGCTGCATCCCATGCCATTTAGCATATTCTGTTCTAAGTATTGTGGGTTTCAAGAACTTTGACATACTTTTTGCAAGTTGCTGCCTGGTAAATATTAAAATCAAACTGTCCTTACGTTCACTAGTGGATCAGTTAACGGATTCAGCAGGGATTTTCTCCAAAACAGCGTGACAACAAACACAGACAATTCAGCATTTAGGAGCCTTGGGAGGCTCTAAACTAAAAGTCTGAGAGATGCCCGAGGCATTTTGTGTTCCCAAGAGAGACAATCCATTCCTCTAGCAAGGAACAGGCTTCAACATAACATTCTGTATTTCAAGGGGAAAGTTTTTGTGAAGTGACATATAGACTGTATCTCACTGGCCCTTCATGAGTACCTCATGGTATATGCAATGCAAGCAAGTACAGAAATCTCTCACTAAAAAGAGAAAGCGAAGAAGACTCACCAAGAGGCTGTCCAGCGATGATACGGGCATTCTCTCCCGCCACAGCTGCCCGGGCGTTCCTCTCATTCAAATACTGTACAAAGGCGTAACCTTTGTGCACGGAGCAACCCACTATCTTGCCGTACTTGGCGAAGATGACCTCTATGTCTGTCTTCTTGACAATGGCTGTGTTGAGGTTGCCGATAAAGACTCTGGAGTTTAGGGAGCGCGGGTCATTCTTGTTGGTCACGTTGCTGGTTTGGATTTTACCAGTCATTCTCCTCCAGTTGCCCTCCTGGGACACAGACAGGGGGGAGGGGAGGACATAGCTTTGGAGGTTAGGGGCAGGCTAACTCCAGATGTTCTGCTAAAAGCTATGGAATTGTGAAGTCTAGAATACGGAATCCACTAATAAGACATTATGAAATATATAATCTTACAGTAAAATATAGTTACTGTCAAATTATTTCATTAAAAAATAAGTGTAATTTTATCTCTTATTTTCATATTACATACCTCTAGCCTCCCAGCAGGCCCACCAACCGCCCACTGGTGTACTAGCTGACAGCTGCTGGCTAGAGAATCCACACAGAAAGACTGTCTGCTTTTGCTCTTCAGATTTGTTTGCCTTTGATAAATGTCATTGAAATCCAAACACTGCAGAAAAAACTTTGCATTAACTAGTAAACTGTTGCCATTAACACTGGCTCTCCACTTTGACCTCACTTTAAGCTAGTTAGCTCGGAAGGTAGGTAGCATGTAGGTAGCACACAGTCATTCTCTGTGGTGTCTCTAGGTTAGCCAACAGGAGCTAGCTAGTTGGATAGCCAGCAGTTGTTAGGCCTGTTAAGAGGCTGGGGGCATGTGATTGGCTGAGGGGATGGCAACGTCACTGTCATTAAAAGTGACATTGGTTGTGTTTGAAATCACATGCTAAGACTTTACACTTGGTTTTAAAATGTGTCTTGGGTGATCGGATCACAAGTGGACAGCGCTAAAAACCATTAAGACGCAACGTAATCCTAACACTCCAACTCCTTGTGTTAACACTAATGCATCCTGATGCGTCCTGGACAAAGATGTGACAGGATAAGAACGTCATGAATGCAGGACCAGGCCACCGGGCAGTGTGCTTGGCCTTGACGCCAATTTTTGTAGTGGCCAAACAGTGTAATTACAACTCCCAAGCTTGTCACGTTATGTCACTGGGCCCCAAAAGACTTTTTTCCCAATAAAATTACATTGGGAAAGACATGTCTGTAAACCAGTGGATACATTTTTTGAGCCCCACACCGTGCCCCACAACCTCTATTCAAGTTATCGGAGTGCTAAACTGGAAGTAGTTGGTCTCCAGTGCACTTGCTTTATGGGCCCAATGATGTGAAAGCAGCGCCGATCATGCAAGTAATTTTTTACTGTTAAAAAAAGGCTTTTTTTTTGTCTTTATGCGCCACTTAGCACCTTTTATAGACATGAATGGGGTCCTACCTTCAAAGCTGTATCCACGTCCCTTAATACATCCATATGCAGGATGTGTTGGTTGTTTTAGTGATAGCTAAATAAGTATCGCAATGTTAAATACTTATTCAGATGTACATTATATATGTGAGCACCCATGTGTTTCCTCTTAACTGTACTTCAGTGTCACTTGCCATCATTATTCTATACGGTGGTTAAATATTCTAACCCTCTGCCTTGCAGTCTGCCATTGGACAGTTTGAAGAAACAATGCATTTTGGGGCAGTTGAGTATGTAGAGTAAACTCATACTCAGAAATATATGCTAATCTAGTATACATCCGGGCATTTCTGGTGTACACAAAATCCACATACTATGCAATTTTGCATCATAATTAGTGTAGTATAAATAGTATGTTAGTATGCAATTTCAAACATCCCCATTATAAATTAAAATGTGATATAAAATAAAAATATCACAATAAAAAATGGTAGTATTTAATAAAAACAGACTTGAAAAGAACACGAATTATCTAATTGAATAAATCTGAACCATGTCATAAGAATAAGACTGATAATGAGTAACATATAATTTATTTTATTATTTCTTAAAATGCGGCTTATTTCTAGGCTATTCGTGTGATTATTTATTTCATGTCTTTATTTAATAGTGAACACTTTAGGACTCCACACAACACAAGGCTTGTACTCGAATTTTCTGTTGGAGTCAAAATCAATTTATTTCAAATAGACACTTTTTGTTGATGAAGGCTTTTGTTGATGAAGGTTTACCTCATCTCATTTATATACAAGGTCACTGGCCAGTTGACTGCTTACCTAAGCCACATTTTGTCACATGGTTGAAATGCTACCAGTGGATGGCTGAGTGGGAGAATTAGAAGGAGCAACAATATGTGAATGTAGCAGCAGTTTCCCTCTGCTTTGTGAGAAAGCAAATACGGTAGCTGTCAGTGGGAAAGCTTTGCTATCTCAATACCCATATTGTTGCATCCTTAATGCTTTGTGTGCCATTTCACTGATCACAGAATGCGGCGGCTGTAATTCATGTTACAGTTTTATTCAGACTTTTTTTTTTTGGCCTGTCAAGTTATCAGCGCACATTACCCTCAGCTTTTGTAGGCCTCACCTGCAATTATTTCTGAGTGACCTTTTCATCACCTGAATGCTAGCTTTTATGAAAGATGATTGGCTGCAGGATCAGGGAAAATATCCTCCCAAGGAAAGGATGCACTGTTGAACAATTCAAGTAGGTGACGCAGATAGATACACTAACACATATGTAGATATATCCCACATTTTTCTATTTGCTTTTGCCATTGATTTCCTTCTTTATGCACACACGTCATTTTTATAGCTGTAGAAATCCAGGTTTTCATTACAGTTTATATTCCAAAATGGATTACACCTTGTGCATTAAATGATGTGAAATATTGTGAAGAAAACACTGAATATTCAATATTTGCCTCCTCTGAGTCTCTGTCCCTGACACACTGTGATAACAACTATTCAGCTTTGAGACGAAGAACCTGAATAATGGATCCAATCCTCAGTAAATAGGATTAGTAACCAAGGTAACACTGATGTTGTTGGAATATCCTGTGGACTCGCGCACACACACACACACACACACACACACACACACATTTTGTCGTTTTTTTCCTCTTTTATCCAACTTAATTTTCCGTTGCGAAAGGCTGCAGATCCTCACAGCTCAGCCTCTCCGACTTGACACTGTGTGGCCTCAGTATCTTCACAAATTACGTGATGTAGTTTTATTGTGAGTTGCTCCACTATAATAGGTTTATTCAGCTAATTATAGCGGGGCATGAGATTATGTTGAGAAGACAGCGAGATAATGCAATTCACAAACTGAGTGATGGTTAAATTCCACAGCGAGGTCGATGGTGCCGCACCTACAGCAGGTGATGAGGAAACCCTCCAGTCATCCAGGAAATACGAGAGCAGCCATGTGATTTCCGCAGAGAGATTCTCTGTCAGGTATCCATTACACCTGAGACTGAGATCATGCTAGGCATTCAGCTGCTCATTCATGGATAAACATATTATTTCACTTGGCAGCACACGTTTTTAGCATTACATCACGTACAGTAATGCTATTTGCTTGACTATTCAACATCCAGTGTTTACAGTGCTGCATTGACGTGTGTTTTTTGTCTGCACGTGGGCATGTGTGGGAATAAACTGCTGCTTGCCATCCCTCAAGTGGCCTTGACATTTATCAGCAGCAGACATTGGGAAATTAATGTGGTGCCGGCACACACACATACATGTGGAAACTTAAATGAGCACCCCAATGGCCACCTAACGGTAGTTTAAACCCACTATCTGACACCCGTCCTCATATTGATGTCCGTGGACAGGTCACTGGGAACATGACAAATCAGTGGAGAAGCGTTAGATTGCCTCTCTCGTCAGATAAATCAGGAGCTGGTAACAGTCACGGAGCCCTTTTACCGCTCCTTACTGTTATATTTCATGTCGTCTTCCCTGTTGTTTTCTTTCGAGCAGTACACTAATTTATTCCATCAGTGGTTTTCCCGCTGACCTTGCCGTTTAGTTTATTTACAGCCTCCATTAAGCGTCTCATCCTATGATGTGATAGTGTCATGAGGAGAAACCTGGGGAAACAACACAGGAAGTGATAGGCACCGGGAGTGTAACTGGCAAAATAATTGTTCCTTGATGTTTGTTGTTTAAAAACAAAAAACAAAAAACAAAAAACAAAAAAAAAAAAACACAAAGAAGAGCTTCATCCCAGAAATGTGGTCTACAAATGGAATGGCTTTTAGAGGAGAAATGATGACCTGGTGTTCAAAAGCCTGCTCTTTAAAAATGATTACAACTTTGACAGTACTGCCTTTTTGTCAGTAAAGAGCAGAAGACAGATACGTCTTCATTTTTTACTTTCACTTCAGCGTGGTCATGTCAGAAAAGGTGTCACATTTTTCAAAAGGTGGATGTCTCCTTTTGGAAGGAAACAATTTGCTCTTGTGGCATTACACAGAATCCTGGCATGCCTTGCCTCTAATGAAAAAATACCGATCTCATGCCGATGATAAAGAAATATGGATAAGATCAGCGGGAAAAGCACCAAGGTCGCATGTGACAGAGCATGCTGTGTTGGGAGAGTAGAAGGATGTGGAAGAAAAGGCAGGGTTTAGTAGAGAAGTCGTCGTATTACTGAGTTGTACTTTGCTCTGTAATGCACTGCGCTTTGGTAGACAGGTTCTTAAAAGGTTGTTGTTTGGGTCTGGCCACCTACCCGATTTATAGACATCTTTTCATGGAGGGAGGGAACTCATTGAATTGATTCCTTTGTAATTTCCTACCACTCCGCCACTGTACATTTCTCTTCGCCATGCCTCAGCCACTCTGCTCTGATTGTTGCCAAGGCAGCTTGACGGGCTGAGGAAAGGCCGGAGAAGCTGCTCAGTGAGACAGAACAGAGAAAGGTAGCCTGATACACCTTTTTCCAATGGTGTTGCTGCCATGTACTGCAGAGGGGGAATAATTGCTTCATGGATTCCTTCCATTTATATCTTGTCTTAAAATGTGTCTCTCTGCCGCTGAAAGCAACGGCAACAACCGAGAAATAAATTCCCTCTATTTGTAAATCAGTGCCGCTATTTGTATTGTAGGCTGCAGAGCATTTCTGTGATGCAACCAGCCATAAATGTGTGCACTTTTGTGAAAGCGTGGTCAGAGGGCGAAGCTATTCAGCCTCCAAAAAAAGACAAACTGCAGTCACAACATTTTGTCAGTTTTGAAGGGAAATTTAATTTAACATGAACAG